CGGAAAATGATCCGGATTCTGGTAGTGTTGATGTGCGTCCTGGGCTTGGGAGGTATGTATAAATTGGATCGAATTTGTGTTTAATAGAAGGTTCCAGGAAAACTACAAACAACAATTATAATTCTAAAAACTGCATTACATAAAAATATAAATAATTATCAAAAGTAATATGGCATAAAAAATGTAAAAATAACTCGAATGTATTTATCTAAGCGTTAAGCTAACTCCAGGCAGATTAAGCGGAGAGGCAGGGAAGAAACAGGCCAACCAGCCGAAATTTTTTAGGAAATACCCTAGGTATCGTTAAACTGACTACTAACTTCGATGAACCAAGCATTTAATGAACCCATTTGCCTCCTCTTTAGTAAAATTAACTTTTTGTTACTTAATTTTGCCTTAGTTTACCTAAATCTGAGGATTTTATGGCGGTATAAATATATGTCTTTAGCTTTCCCAGGCCCGAAAAATGGAGCTTGCGGACTTTGCGCCGAGCAGCCGATGATCAGGTTCATAAATATTTTTCATGGAATTTCTTTAGTTGATATCGTTTTAATTTTTCTGGATTTAATTCAAAGTGCTATATTTAGTGATGATGGCACAGCAATTGGAATCATCGATAACACGAAAGATTCTGAGGGTTGTCGTGTCGTGTCGCTGATTTGTCACAACGATATTGACCCCACATCGGTAATCCCTAATGTTTTTTTTGTTTAAAAAAGGATCCTAAACTCCTACATAATGAGAAAATTATTTTATCTAGGCATACCTGTACATGAACCGGGCCCTCCTTGAAAATCGGAACACCATCTCCGCGGTGTGCATGAATAATGGGTGGTTTTTGCGCGGAGCCGATGAGTCGATGGAGGTTGTAAAACGTCTAAATCATTGTAATATTTTGTTGTTTTAGATGAAACCAATCATCTCCATATTCTGCTCGTCCGTTATGCTGTGATAATAATGAATAAAGTTGATTTTTTGCAACTCCCATGGCTTGTTTCTGCACCAAAATAGCCAAAAACATAAAGGTTCACGAATTCTTTAAATCTTTACAACCATACGTTCAAAATCATTTTCGAAAGGAGTTTTGCGTCAAAAAACAGTAGTGTACAGGTTGTCAAATGACCAGAGTCGTACCGGGTGGCTAGTCCGAAACGCTACCCCCTACACCCCCACACCACGCGTCCGTAACGAATCATTAGAAAGCGCCAAATAATTTCTTTTTGCCGCGCGCGCCTTCATAGACAAGCCTTTTGAGTGACTTTTTAATGGTATCGGACCTAAAAACAATATATTCCATCTATAAAATCTTTTTAGATGATCATCCTCGACGAACGACTCCAAGCCACCCTCAACGGCGCCGTGAAAGACCACCAAAAAGATGCCAAGGATTTCACTGTTCCCGCGTCGTTCCATTTTATGATCGGCTCATTTACCGGGGAGCACGATATTCAAGTAAGTTTTCGTTAAATATATCTCAATCAATGTGTTTTAGGTCGCCCACCTCGTCCCGTGTCCGCAACCTCCGAGGGATGGGCCTGTGGTAAATTTTACATAGTTTTTACGTCTTGTAAATTATCTAGAACCACACAAATGACGCTATCAAAAGAATGGACACCGAATTTCTGGCCGAGCATGCCGATCGAGTCATCCGGATGCTGCCCGGCGGCGTGGATTTAGTTGGTATGCCCGGATAACTTTGAAAATGCGAGATTTTTAGGTATTGTACTGATTTCCGAGGAGAAGAAAGTGCTCCCGTTGCTGAAACCGGTGCTGCTTCAAGTTTTACAAGGCGTTGCAAAGGCCGCCACTGCTGACTCGACGTTCAACTTGTTCAAGTATATCACCCATATGGTGCGCTTTAAAATTATTGAAATCAATAACGTTTTCACTAGGGTTAGTCTCTGTTAATAACGGTGATTTAGGCGCTGGTAAGCATCGATGGAGCGGAAGGAAAGCAGCAAGGTTTTCTAGCCGACGTCAGCCATCGTGAGGGCTCGTTTTCTGCGAATAAAATCAGCTTTGATAAAGTAGGTTTTATTTAGGAAGCGAGAAAAATGTTTTATAGCTCCAATGGACGACAATTATCTCGAGGATTGGCGGGCGAGTCAGCGGCCACGTCCCGTTGAAAAGCAACGATTTTACAAAGGATCTACGGCAAATGCTTCAACATCGAGTGCGTCATTCTGCACTTTTCAATTTTTATTTTTAGGTACAACAAATCCTTGACTGCCAACTAATCCTCATTGACGATGTCGTGCGAAATTCCGACGATTTGCTGATCAAAGATCAAAAGCACAAGAAGCAGTCCTACGAATTGGCGCTTATGGTTCAATCGGAATGTGTGTACTTTGTGCGAAAAAGTCTGTAAACCCGTATTTTCAGGCGACATCGACGCGGCTTCAACGATCGAGAGCGAGACCGCAAATAATTGGCACGATTTTGTGTTTGACGTCGAGGTAATTGGTTTGTAACAAAATTCATATATCAAAAATTAGGTCCGAGCGGCGGTTCCGGTGAAGAGCAAGGTGAAAGATGCTGTGGCTGCCGTGAAGCTGCATGTTATCCGGAATTTTAGTGCGCGAGGAGGTATAGTATAAATTCCGAAAGTTTAAACCACTTATCCAGCCCTCGTCGCCGATCTGATGGACGTCACCGAGGAGAAAACCTTCCCCACAACTCAAATCATCCACCAGGTGACTCTTTCCTTCCACTACGATACTCACCGGCTTCAGAAAATGACCAAACTCGATCGGGCTTTCAATGACGGTGTTACTTACCAGATGCCGCGGCCCGCCACCACTTTTCTGCCCTCGCAGCCGGCCATCATATTCAGCGACTTTTTGTTCGAGGCCGAGGGCCCGGAGGATGCGCGCGAGAATTTCAAGGATACGCTCGGGTTGGACGTCAATTTGGGTACGTTTTTATACGCAAAAAGGTCTCTCGATTCTTGAGTCTTTCAAGGTTGGATCGACGTTTTTTCTTGAGGATCCATTTTTTCTGATGCAAACCAAACGGTTTTTTTATAATCCTAAACATGTAAACATCAGAATTTGGGTGAAAAATACTAAGATTATTTTTGACCGATGATGGCTGCTTTTCGACCTAAATATTTCAAATTAAAACAGTTTCGAAAGTTATGTTGAATCTTTTTTGCTTAAATATAGTTAAATTTGTCTAGAAACACATAAGGTGCTTATATGATAAAACCCCCGGGAAATATCACCGCAAAAGCCCTTTTTTCAGAAAATGTCGATGACGGATGGGAACGATCGTTGGCCATCGATGAAATGGAGGTCGTCAGGGCCAAGGAGGTCAGTTATTTTTAATTTTTGCTAAAGTCCGTTCTCTTTAGGTTGTTCCCGACCACGCTCCACTCATCACCACCTCCCCTGAAAACCCCTCGCAACGCCTGCCCTACCTCATCGTGGCCATGTCGATGATGATGGTGCTCGTCTCCTGGATTTTGTACCGAACCCTCGCTTCTTAAGCTATCATCTATCGCATTTTCGATGAATAACCCGCTATTTCCATTTTGAGCCCCCGATGCCATTTAAAAAGCGTTATTTTTGTTCCGCTGCCTTGCTAACTTATTTTACTCCTATCTAGCGTTCTCGCATATTGTGATACACATTTATTTTTCACGGTATTTTTGGGTGAGATAAAGACTGGTAGCATATATTGTTAGGGAAAACATCCGTTTTAAAGTTGGGTTCTGGTTCCTTAGCGGGGGTCGGTATTTTTTTTATACAGCTTATCCCGCAAAGGAATGAAACTAAATGTTATATTTTGCTAGTATTCTAGTTTGCCATTTCTAAACAGTCGTGAGAAATCTATGAAAAAAATGAAGTTTGTGTCCTTTTTAAATATTTTCTCGAAAATTTTAATGAGTTTTTACAATTGTTCTCTAAAGGGCGCAAAATAATATTCCTCATTAAACTAAATTTACTATGTCAGCCCTTATTTCATCATAGGGCACCTACGGAACATAGGAAAAATCGTAATATTCCTGCTAAACCCCCCCCCCATAACGCACCAGCACCCAAAAGGCTTTTACAACATTAGCCACGATGTTGCACACATCAGACCAGCGACCGCCCGCTCATTTTCGTAAATAAGGGCAACCCCTTGCGCTTGGGGTAAATGCTTCCGGGGGCCATTTTGGCTTCCGCTCGACCACTTTTAACGATAAATTGCATATTCCTCGAGCCAGCGAAGCTGGGGGCATTAATTATCCCAAAATGTGCCCTTCCTGAAAATGCACTTTTTATGTAAATGCACGAATTAAAAGGGGCGGCCCCTTAATTCGTGGATATTTGAGTGGCTTCGATGTTAGTCAGCTAATTTTTGGGTTGAGGAATTGGAAATTACGGGTTGTTGGTGGATGTTGAAAATTCTGAATAATTCTGCTGTATCGTTTTCGATTTTGTTTATCGTTTCATTGGCTGATTTTACAGCTTTTTTTTCATCGAAAAAGTAAAGTTTTTAAAGTTATTTAAGGCTACTTATGAAAAGATTTTAAAGAGTTAAAGTATGAAGGGAGGATGTTAGTATCTTTATTTCAACCGCATGCTTTTAATAATTACGTTTATTAAAAGATTAGGTAGACAATATTTGCCTTTCTATTTATGTTCTATGTTTGCTGATTTTATCTATTGTTTATATTTCATATTTTACTAGGGTTTCGGTTTTGTTTAAGCCCAAAACCAAACTTTTAAAGATAATATCAGGGAGTTGGCGATCTTTGAAGCGATGTCCTCATTTCATAGTCAGGTTTTTCAGGAATGCTGATGTCAGCTTTCAAAAAAAACGTATGGCTAACTAAATAATAGTCTAAGTCACAGCATGGCTTCACCCCCCCCATTAATAACGAAGTGCCTGATGTGACGCCGACGTTGATGTTCATTCTAATAAGCCAGTCTTTCTTTCTTTCTTTCATCACGCTTCACCACCTCAAAAGCGTAGTCTTTCCACTTAATTTCTGCACATCCATTACCCATTCAATTGGCCCAAATTGAATTGGAATACGCGAGTACTTGGGATGCTCCAATGGCTGTTGACCAGGTTGGCGACGTGCCTGGATAAAAAAGCATTAGAAAGTCGTTTTCCCGGGCTTGGCCATCCCTCATCGTGTGCCCCGGTGCGTTCGTGCCCTTGCGTAATTAGTAGGGCACCCCGGCATTTGGCCGTATTTATGCCTTTTTCCAGGTCCCGGGAATTTTATAGTTTTTTTTTCTGGTTAAAAGCCTGTTTTTCTCTGTTGCCTGGATAATCTACCGTATGCCAAATTTGCGAGGAATTCGGAGTTTTCTATTACATTTCCTCGGGAAGTGGGGAGTTTCTAGTTTTCCGTGCTAAAAGCAGGATAACCTACCGTTATCTAGAATTTACTAACAATACAGAATTTGCTATTGAAGTGGATGGGAAAAATCGCCTCAAAACGGGCAAACGTGCAGAGATTCTTGGGGAAAGGTAAGGATTTCAAGAAATAGAGAATTTGCATTCTAGCCTCGACGCGACGGCTTTTTTTCAGGCGTCATTTTCGTTTGTCGACAATTTCTTGTCGGGATTTTGTCCGTTCGAGCGTCGTTGTCGGGATTTTGTCCGTTCGGTATTTTGACTGTCAGCAACGGAAATCATTGGCATTCTGTTGTTTTCCCTCGAAAAGCTGTTTTTCCGCTCCATTCCGCTTGACGCCGGTTTGCGGCCCGGCCCGGCGCAATTAATAGTACGCGAGAACGAGGGAGGGTGTGTCAGTGTGTGGATCAGTGGCCATGCGTGTGTGTGTGTGTGGGTCGCATCTCTCTCTCTCTCTCTCTCGCTCTCTCTCTCTCCCCATGTCGCATCTGAGGGCTCTTTAGAAAATGGGGGAAATGAGTCGACGGCCCGGAAAAAGGGGGGATGCGTAGAGGCAGATGCGCGGAAATTGAATCGAAAAATGGGGCAAAAAATAGCGGGGAAAGCAGAGGGCACCACACTGGGCCGTCTCTCTCTCTCTCACACACTCGCTCTCTCTCGCTCGCTCTCGCCCATTTCACGATTCTAAAGGCATGGGGATCAACACTGCCCATCTCAAGGAGAACGCAACATGGCACCACCGGGCGGACGATGTTTTTTTTTTGGTGTACTTCTTGGCCTGGTCGAATTTTTGATTAGGGCGGTCTCGTTGTCACATCAAAATTTTTGGCATAGCTGCGGTCATCGGTTAAAGCTGAATGTGATACCGTAAGTCCTTGGGAGTATCGATTCCCATTACCTTCAGTACCTTATGTTATTTCTATTTTTTGTCTAAGATACCTTCAGTTATGTCATACGCCGATACGCACGTATTTTTAAATCTAGCGCAACAATCGTAGGAACGGAACAGCGCGCTTGATTGGAATTTAATTTATTGCGTTTTTTATCTTACCCGGCTTTGGCACCATATTATTATTCGTTTTTAGTAAAATTTATTGTAGCGTTTTTTTTTTCGATTCATCCAGCTTTTCAGATAGATTTTCGATTTAAATTTTTTATAATTTCCCAGTCGCGGAATGTCGTCCTCTTTCATCTTGCGATCAGTTAATGTTCATCTACCTAGATAAATGGTGAAATCAAAATCTAAGCTTAATCTAGCCACTTACGAAGCTAAACGGACTGGTTCAATTGTTTTCTTGGTGTGCAATGGGCGGATGGGAGCATGAAAAGGGTGTTTACCGGATGCTTTTTGGAGCTATAGTGAGGATTCTTGGAGTGCATACAAAATGGGGGAAGGGGTTGAGTTTTCGGACGTACGAATTCTCTGAATTTTTCTAATTAACTTAAAAGGCTTTAAGTCACCTACAAAAAATGCTAATATGCCTAATTCACTGTCTCTCTTTTCTCTCGCCTCGCTCTCTCTGTGTCTCTATGTCTCTCTCTCTATAGATCGGAGCTAACTGTCTCTCTCCATCGCTGTCTCTCTCTCGCTCTCTCTATCTCCCTCTCGCTCTCGCTCTCTCTGTCTCTCTGTCTCTCTCTCGCTATATCGGAGCTTTATGTCTCTCTCCATCGCTGTCTCTCTCTCACTCTCTCTCTCTCTGTCTCTCGCTATCTCTCTCTCTGTCTTTTTCTCGTTCTCTCATTTGTTATTGAATATCTAGACTGAACTCTACTGTCACATTCCATTTAAAATGACTAAGCCGACCCGAATTTTCTTGATGTCACGTTTGTTTGCCCAAATTTAACCAAATTTCCGCGTAAAACCGGATAGGCCCCTCACGAATTCCACTACTCCACGTGGCCGCTGCGATCCATCCCGTCGGAATTTGATTCGCGCCGGCTTGCTGATCTCTAGAACCGGCGAACATTGAGACTGACCCGCGTGAGTTTGGGTTCATTTTTAAGGCACTTTAACGCCACATTAAAGGGCCCGTAAAGGCACAAAGTATATTTTTTAGGCTTTGAAATTTTCAGATGAATTAGGCACGCGCCGCACACGTACATTTGGCGCTGCAAAAGGTTCCTCGCGTTGCGTGTCGCGGGTGTGACAAAGTCTTTGGGGAATCCAAAGCCTAAAAAATCCATTCTTCTGCCGTGCGCTTTAATGGAAACGTAATAATTTTTTTTGATAAGTCTTTGCTGGCTGCGCTCCTAATTTAGATCAAATGCAAAGCCCACAAAATTCGGATTCATGCCCTGCTCGTCCCTTTAAAGGACAGCTCTTATCTGATTTTCGTTTTTACATAGATGATCAATTACTAATGTTTGTAATACGCTTCAAAATTCCAAAAAATTCAAATCCCTAGTCTTTTCTGCCCTTCAGACACGCGATTAAAGTGCTTGCATGTTTTCTAGAGCTGAGTCCGAGTTTTGGCAGGGGCTTTCGCCCGTGCGCCGTCTTGCGTTTCCTGTTTATTGGACGTGCTACTGCTGCTTCTTGTGCTTCTTCGCCCCCTTCTTCTGCTGGCAGGTGTGCACCAAACATCCGGGGAGACGCCTGGGGGCGCCGTGAAGCGGAAGGTCCGGCTCGCTGGTGTCCAAAGCTCAGCGCGTTTCAGGACGAGATTAGGATGCCAGCAGGTGTCGTCAATGTTTGGCGCAGCCCGCCAAAATTTTTTTTTTTATGTCGTCTAGGTATCTCATGCTCTTTGGCCCGTGCTTTTGGCTCGGTTTTCTCCCAAATATAGTTAAAAAGGTTAAATTTTGCTATATACGTTAATTCTTTTCTCTCTCCCAAGATCTCTCTACCTCTCTTTATGTTTCTCTCTCTTTCTCTCTCTCTCTCTCTCTCTCTCTCTCTCTCTCTCCCTCTTTCCCGCTTTCTATTTCTCTCTTCACTGAGCCGCGACTCGCAACGCGCACGCAACGCTTGTTAGGCGTTTTCATAGGGCGGTAATCGCTTACGCAATGGAACAGCGAGCGTGTGCGTTGAGTTTCACGGGCATCACGAAATCGAAAGCCAAGGAATCTACAGTCATGCCTTCTCAGCCCCTTTAGAACGAACCCGGAACCCTTGCACGCCTAAGC